CACAAAATAAGTTTTTATTAAGACTTCTTAGACTTCGCGACGAACTGTCAATTTTGTTGTACGTACCTTTCGATAACACCCTGTATAAATTTCTAATTGATTTCAGCGCTGATTTAAGCTTAATCATGTTGAATATCGTAGGTACTATCCATTTATTACTGGATTAAATTAAAAGTTATCCCGGAAACATATTTTCCTAGTCAACATGTTTGATGGATAAGCTTGCAAATTTAAACGAAAGTGAATAGCTCGAATGTTATTCAGAAGATTAATGAAATAAACAAAATCAGCAAATAAATTGTTATTAGATTTTCAACATTGTGACTTTTAAAATGTCAACGTCTGACATTGGCTAAAAAAGAGTAGAGTTGTACTTAATAAAAAATTTATTTTAAACGTAAATATTAAACAACAAATAATCTTTCAACATAACTCTTCACATAAATATACAATAAATGTACAAATTCCACACTAGTTTATTATCATCGCCGGACTTCGATGCCTTCAAGCAGTCGGACGCTTACGTTTAGGTCGTCGGGTCCGTTTCCCCACATCAAAAATACCTCATATACCATACCGTCTTCTGTAACGTGTCGCCACCAATGAAAATAATCGGTGACGACACGTTCTCGGGACAAAATCATAAACCTGAGGACCTGTGGTTTAAAGGGAATGCCCAAATTTATCCATTCTTCTTCTAAGTCACGTCTTATAGCCTCTTGGAGGCTTTGGGACAGCAGGGGTGCAGGAACCCTTAAATAAGAAAGAGTTCAAAAGTGTTTATATACCGGATTTCTTAAAGTAGAAGTTAAAAATTAATATGAAAGGTAAAATAGTTTTATGTCTAACTCCACATTGTGAAACCTTTTTATCTTTCATATTAAGAAAGAATTGATCACACTATCTAATCACGATTAAAAACCATTTCGGTACGACTTACATTTTGCTTTTCTTGGGTTTTGGACTTTCGGAAAACAGCTCTGCTCTGGTGACCACACCAAAATGACCAGTTCCCTTGAATGCCATCTTTTATATTCTTACTAATGTTGTTTTTCCTTTGAGGGCCATTAGTTACAAGTACAGGAGTATATTTTGGTGTAACATTAAAATTATTTTAAAATATAATTCAATGAAATAACGTCATCAAATTGTTGGTGGGGATGATTATCCAAATTTTGGGTAGCATTTAACCATCTACATGATATTTCTAATATACGTACAAAATTTGACGACAATCGGTTCAGTAGTTTCGGAGATTACTTGTCTAATAAAAATTGAGACAGACACCAGACAGACATACAGACATATTACTATACTTTCTCCAAAATTCCACTCACGAACTTTCATGGCAACAGCCACAAGATCTGCTTTGCTTCTTTTACCGGATCAATTATTCTTGTCTGCTATGTACTGTAGGTTTTTGATTGTTACTAAATTTAGTTGACCACAAGTCGGATTTTCTAAGTTTCGGACATTTTCTAAAATTTTTTCCCATGTCTTGCGGGTTGGCAATTGAAACAGATTGGGCAGTATACCAATTTTATTGGAAGAAAATGTCGCTGGTACGGGTGTTGGTTACAATTATCACTTGTCTGCTACAACTGCAGTTACTTCTTCAACTCCCTCTTCAGGTTGCGAGCCAAAAGTTATATATTAATAATAATAATAATAATAATAGCCATGACGATAGACAACGCTCTAGGCCCGTGCCATTATTACACATCTTAGCAGGCGAAGGCGGTACACCGGCCTAAGAGTTTAATGGCTTTATAGTGATTCTACTCATATTCAGATGGCGATGAAGTTGGCAAGTCAAAAATGGTATAACACAAGTTGTGTGTGTGTCAGCTAGTCTCTTAGGCCCGAATATTCTGTAGCCCCGTGGAACGTTTATGTGTTATCCTGACTGTTGAAAAATTTACCGTGATATCTACTTGGACCTTGGCAACTCCACCATCATATTATAATTAACATTTATACAAAGTATTGCAAACATGAAAGCTTGAATTAATTATTTGATTTAAAATTCGGAAATTGATATGTTTTCATGTAATTAACCTTCCAGTGCTCGCACATGATTTTAAAACATGATTGCTCGCTGCGGACTGAGAGTCCGCATTTTAAAAATTATGGTTTTTATGGTTCATACTTAATGGTAAAGTAAAAAGCTCATAGAAATTTAACAAAAATGTATTTAGTAAACATAAGATAATATAACATCACAAGATATTGCATCTACATTTGCTAGACACATGATTATTTCTAATCATCATTAATACTTGAAAAACAATTATTACACATAATAAAAGAATGGTGTAAGCAGATAAATGTTTTACATTGTTGGCAGGAATACCGTGTCGGTCTATTTTTTCTTCGATCACAATACGTGCATCGTCCGCGGTGATCTGCAAGGATGGAAGTGGCTGATTGAGGTGTTTCTGTTCCCAAAATTTCATATATTCTCGCTGCCATGGTTCTTGGGATACCCTGCATAGCACGACGACGCATGTGGGACTCAATTAGATGGAATGACAATCTTTTCAAAAACTCTCACCTTTTTATACTATCTATGTTATTGTTCATCGAGTATATAATCAAAGAATTAATACCAGCAATATTTAGCAAAGAGTAAAACACTACCATGGGCCATCTGCGAGTGTTCCTTGCACAGTCATATGCTGCACATAATTTATCGATACTATCTACGTCTCCTTTTGTCGCAGTATAGTCCATGATCATCTCTGGTTTATTTGTGTTTCTATCAATACAGTCATCATGATGCATACTTGACACCAACAATACATTCTTTTTTGTTTGGACATACATGAAACAAGAGTCGCATTTTCACGAAATCCGAACATACTTGTTAGTGTTGGACGCTTAAAATCTACGATAGTCAAAAATTTTGCCCACCCTGTTAGTTGGAATAAAAGTTCGTCTTGTCGATATACTTGTTCATGGACTTTCTGACTATGACCCATCAATTTTGCAATCTGACCGATTTCATTGTCATTCATTGTTAACAATTGGGAAGGAAAGGATTGCGACTTGTTTTCTTAAATAAGTGGAACGTAAAAGATGCGGTTCTTCAGCACCACATTTCTCTGAGTAATCTCTTAAAACAACTGAAGCCTCGATAAACATCGCTCTCGTAGGTATACCAAAAAGGTAATTGTTTGAATAGGGAACACCAGCTTCTTTTCGATATTGGAGAAACATGTCTAGATACCTACAACACAATTTTTTAAAAAGTAGAAAAATCAAAGTACTCATTTACCTGCATTGATTTTCGTCCAACAGCACATGTAATATATGTAGACGCTTTCCAATCAAAATCATAACTTTGTATTTATTCGCTAACTCTCGATGATGCATTGGAAAGGATTGAAGTATTTCTTCATCATTCAAGTTCGATTTTTTTGTTATACAATTCCAACGACATACTTGCAACTTCACTGACTCTACGTCTATTATACACAATAACTCTTGCCAACGCAGCCTTTCCTAATTTTAGCCATGTGTCGAAATCGAAACCGTCCTGTAACCGTTGATACGCCTGCTACGCTTCAGAAACTATCAATGTGGAAAATAATTTCACGTCCTTTGCCTTTGGTAAATTATGTAATTTGGCTGCTTTTCTTTGCAAGCTGGTTCGACCAGCTGACCTGCCAACATAGATTCGATAGTTTTTATCATGGAGAGTTTTGAAATTGTCAAAACGGCCACGCTCTTCACATTGTCTGGGAAGATTATGAGTTAAATAATCAACGTTAAGTGCGTCTAAAAGAAATGTAATACTCGATCGTAAAGCTTTTGCCAGACTTGGCTTTCCAAACTCGCCTGTTTCCTTGTCAAGTGAACACAAATTGAAAACTCCCTCTAGTAAGGCATCATAACCTCCATAGAGAATCAGATCTTCAAAATCCAGAATAGAGGGGTTTATGTCTTTAACTTCTAAAATCAATCGTGCCATTCTACGCAAATGTTGGCGATCGTTCTTTAATGCGCTATATGAACCACGATGCATTAAGGAATATCTTTCAGCAACAAGTTTCAAACATTTATCTTCTAATATCTCGTGTAGAATTAGCCCAACTTGGACAGGCTCTAAGAAAGCGAGAAAAAGTTTCTGACTGAAAGAATTCGCTGTAAATTCCCTTTGGATAGTTTTAAAGCGAGAATCTTTAAGCACATTTCTTCTATTGGGTGGCCGTCCAGTACATTTGCGTTCATGTCTAGCAAAGTTTCTGGTCATTATTTCACCAAAACAATTTGGGCAAGTAATTAAATTGAAGGCTTGTCCTGTCACTACTCTCCTTATAGCAATTTTTTCCTCACAGGTGGCATATTTGTTGAAATTATAATCACCCTTTCGCCTGATCTCTCGGTACGCAGCATTCCGTTCCACACTATTAGCTTTCATAGTCATAATATTTTTCACTTCTTCCTGATCTTTGTGTTTTCGAAGAATATGTGAAGACATTTCAACAAAAAACTGTTCACAGAAATAACAACAATGGCGTTTTACTTTGGTTTTTGACGTTAATGGGTTTACTAGGGCAGAAGAACCACAATCCATAATTAACGGTGTTATGAACTTACGTTCCTCTTCAATCGACAGTTCCTCCCCTATTAATTTTCCGACGGGGAGACAGTAACGAACTTTCACTTGTATTTCATGTTCGCCAAAATTTCTAGGCAGCAGCACAACTGTTCTGTTTTTGTCGGAAAGTTTATTACCTACAACAAAAATTAAACTTCGATTTGCATTTTTTTTTACTATACATACATTTATGGTCTGTCGCGGGCAAACCAGAATACAAAAATCCGCTGATGGTATTGTCGTCTCCACTGCAAGCATCACAAATGTAATGCTCTTCAAGTAAAACGGTGTGTATCTTCATTGAAACGAAAAATTTCTTTATATAAATGGTCAAATGAGCGGAAATCCTCCAGTTTGATTCTTCAACAGGCGAAACCAATGGCAACAGAAGGCAATAATGCTGGAGTTTATGCATGACCATTTGCCTTTTGCCAGGGGTCAAATTTCAGATTCGGCCATGGTATCAAAACTGTGGACTAATCTAACCCTTGAACTAAATGAGGCAGGAGGTGCCATGAAGGATCGAAAACAATGGCAACGGGTTTGTACTCCTATTCCTTAAACAAAATAGACCTTCATTCGTACACTCACTTATGTAAACATGCCTCATTCATCCACTTAAAACTACATTCCCTATTATATAAATTTTTAAATATAAAACTTAGTGTTGGAGTGACTGGAAGTCAACCGTCAAGTCTAAAGCTGCACAACTGAAGGCAAAACAGCAAAGGACTGGAGGTGCTGGGCCATCAAATGATTCGACTCTCTCTGGTTTAAGTGAAATGGAGTGCCGAATTTTAAGCATCATTGGCCCAGATTATTGTGGTGATGAGAAAACTCCAGAGTTTCCCTCTGTTTCAATGGTAGGAGTAGGTATTTCGTATTTGATGTTCACATGGGTTGTTACCCATAAGGAGTCCTGAAAAAAAAAGTTTTATACTGATTCACATTCAATTAACTTAATTTTAAGCTTTCATATGCGACATTTCACACACATACAAAATAAAATAACTCACTCATTTTTAGAATTTTCCTTCTGTTCCTGTTATAACACCAGTCATACCATCTGGCTCCAAAGCTCTCATTGTTGTACCAACAGTCATACCATCTGACTCTGAAACTCCTCCTTCTCCTCCACCAATGTCAGGTTCACCAGTGCCTCCTGAAGAAACAGCAATTGTATTGATTTATGCATGCAAAGTTTGTCAACAGTAATACCTTTCATTTCTAGAATTCTGTTAACATCTCACCATCCCCATATTTGTCCTTGCCTTCACGAAAAAGAAAGAAGCGTCCAAGCCCAGAAACCCTACCTGAAAATCTGCTCAAAGCAGAGAAAGAGGCCAATATTCTTCGTGAATGGCAAGCCATTGCTTTGGAGCGAATAGCTGATGTCAACACCAACATTTTGCAAGCGTTGCGGGAACTAATTGATGTGATGTTGCGTTAATTAAGCTTCGTGTTTTTTTTTTTTTTTTTTTCTAACTGTAAACTCACCAATGTCTTGCGAATTTGTTACACACAACAGGAAAATTGTGTTACGTGATTGATATGATGCTCTATAACATTAACAATAATCATTTTGATTTTGTAGTAGTTTCTCTGATTGCAAATTCATTTCGAATGCTTCCTTTACACATTAAAGAAAACGTGGTCTGTGAATACATGTAACCACCAATTAACCAAGTAGGTATAAAATATGAATCCTGAGTAGATCTAAAACACAACACGTACAAGAATAGAGAAAACAATCACTCACCACTTACGGCCTGCAAGCCATTTTACACCTTTGTATTTAGTTAAGTTATCTTCTACAATGTTTAAACAATAAATATTAAGCTAAGAAAGTTAAAGAGCATATTTTCTGCTGCACACACAATTAGAAACTAAAGCACTTTTAACAACAATGTTGTTGTAGAAGTGAAATTTTTGTTATTTAAATCTGCGGGGTTACACGAGCTGGTAGATACCGTGAACCGCTCTCGTAGAGATAATTTAAGACATTTAACAAACAAACAAAAACAAAGAAAGAATATGTCGTGTTCTGTGCGTAAAATTAACGGAAGTAATTACGTGCAATACGTGCACGATTTTGCGCTGCAGCAGCTCGGTTCTCAGGGGCTTCAATTTGATGGTCGGGGTGGTCGTCATCTTCGTCGGCCTGGTGTTGGTAAATTGCATTTAAAATATCAACCTCCGGAGGCAACGGCAAATCGCGCTCAACCATAATGTTGTGCAGTATCACACAGGCATTGATTATGGTGCCGGCTTTTGGTAGAGAGTATCTTAATGCGCGCTCAGACAGAAAGCATCGAAATCTGGCTTTTAGAATCCCAATGCACTGCTCTATACAAGAACGAACCCTACGATGCGCATTATTGAATCTCGATTCTGGGGTGTTCTCAGGTGGATGTGGAAAAGGAGTTAGTAAGTAGGGCATGAGAGGATACCCAGAATCACCTGGAAAGGAAAATTATAAATTTACAAGTGATTTAGTGTACTTGTTTATAGATTACCCAAAAGCCAAGAATTTCTGTCACCATCTTCTGTGAGAGGCATTTGTAACATGGTGTTAATGTTACTCGTTCGCCAAATAAATGCATCATGAGATGCGCCTCCGTGTGCTGCATTTACTGCATATAGTCTGTTGTTGGGACCACAAATCTGAATGAAGTGTAGAAGGTAGTTAGAAAAGGCGAATATAATAAAGGCAAACAGTTACAAGTTGAACATTCTTTGAATGGTATCCCTTGCGGTTGAGGTATTGGTGCTCTCGATCTCTACCTGGATTCAAAATAGCAACGTGCGTGCCATCAACAAACCCAATGACACCTGGCAAGTTAAAACGTTCCATTACTCTATATAGACAAAGTAAAATAGAGAAAAAGTTCTTATAGAGAACATGAGACTTTCATACATGGGTTACTTCATTAACAGCAATAAAAATTTGAGATTGCGATAAATTAACGAAGCAGTCCTGTCCCACGCAACGTTGGTAACTTCCACAAGCCAAAAACCTTATTGCTGCCAAAATTCGAATTTGCCTACTGATTCGATGACCTCGTTGGCCTGGCATCATGTGAGGCTCGATCATGTCAATCACCTCACGCATTGTACGTTTATCAAATCGAAATAATTCAATAAATCTGGAAAATTTATGTATCTTGTGTAATACATAAGTATTAACTAAAATTGCTTTTATTACCGTTGATTGGGCAAATCGAAAGGATCATTTGTGATTCTAGCGCGTCTTTTAAGTCTCCGTAAATAATTACGCTCGTCGTTGACGAAATAAGGCAGAAAACGTGCCATTTGAAAAAAAGCGCAAATCTAAATTAAATTCGAAACTGTCAAAAAACAATAATGAAGGTAGCTGCATTATCGGAATATATGTGGCAACACAGCACAAAATATCGGTGCGGTCGAAACGTCAAATCATTTATCGCTTCGGTTGCCCACGAGAAACAAAATACCGATTTCGTCGACGAACGTTAGCAGCCTACGATATTTTAGCGGTGACCGATATTTATCGGTCGAGAAACAAAATTCCACCCCAGGGCAGAAATATAAAACTGTGTCGTCCTCTTGTAAGACCACCACTCTGGCATGAGATAAGCATTTTTCACAAATAACATGCCCGCATGTGACTAAGTAGAAAGACTTACAATGGCAATTTACAGGAGTGGCATATAATTTTTCCTAATAAAAAAAGTGAAAAAATAAAATGTCAAACACATTTTGTCATAACATACTCGTGAGGGGCAACGGATTGTTTTCTTGAGGCTTACAGACTACACATGTTTTTCTTCTACAAGTTTCTGTTCTTGTGAGCTCCCTTGTACACATATGATTGTGGATATATCTGCTTTATAACTATTTGTTATAACATAGGCTAGCCGACGCAGTTCGATATTAATATTTTGTGAAAAAGGCATCTCCTCACTTTCAACCTGCGTTATTTCCTGCGGAGTTAAATTATGTACCATGATGCACTTTAAACTGCCCAAACATTGGATCTTGTTACATATAATAAATTCATGGCGGTATTTGCACTGGGCCCTTCTACATCTCTTCATTAAGAACTCTCTGCAGGGAGTGGGTGTTAAAATTCTGAAAACGAGATCATATAGCACATAAAATTTCAGCGGATCGAATACTTCATTTGCTACTGAAGCTCATCGATTAAATTGGAGTCAAAGACGAAAAATTAAAAAAAAAGTACCAATAAAAGAAACTGGACAACTTCCCTCCTCTACTTGGCCTCTGCATACAGGGCATCGAGGCATATCACGTGCAATCAATTCTCTTGAACAACCCTCGCAAGTACTATGCATACAAGGGTTCAAAATGCACCAAGAGGTCATTTGTCCAGTCTGTTTCGGAGAAACAGACTGGACAAATAAACTTATCATTTTCTTGTTCCTCTATTGTCCTATGAGTAAATTTGCATTTGCTTCCGTATTTACAGTTGCCGAATTGTTTAAATTCTTGACAAATGCCCGAAATTTGTAATGTTCTCAACGTCTCGTACCTCATGGTGTCGCTTTGATATAGCGTTTCTCTGTACTGGATTTCATCTTTTGAGGACACATGAAGGTATCGACAGTACTCTCTGACATCTCTCCATTTGAAAGTACCGACAGAACTTATAGGGATGATTTAAATTGCACATCGGATCTTTACATTCCCCCTTCGAGAATTTCGTACAATAACTACGACAAAAATAAATACTGAAACTTTGACTTGAAGTGTTGTACTTTAATCAAGATATAATCTAGTGTTGAAAAATTGTGACTTCAAAGAGATTAATTAAAAACTGTTTTCAGGGAACAATTTGAATATACACCGTTTTTTTAGGAGTTGCGTATTTTTTACTTTTATACAGGATGGCAGGTTTGAATTGCCAAACGTTAACGCAAGCTGTATCACTTCAAATCTAGCAAGAAATCATCCTTAAGAAGTTGGGGTCGCAAATGTATTGTTATCGACCTTGCCAATTTTGCCGTTAGTACTCTTTCTGACCCTGCGTTAATAGATCCTCAAAAGCGTATAACACTGTATACGACAGATGCGATAGACTGATGGTTGTGAAATAAACGGTTCATTTACTTAAAAGTTTCCATTAGAAAAATTTTAAGGTAGGTAGTTGGGTACACTAATCCTTTTTTCTAGAAAATCTTCAACGGTCTTGCCGCAAAATGCCGAAAAAGAACATCTGGTTAAAAGCTTTAATTCATTATCAACGGAAGTAAGGATTTAAAGTCATAAAATCTATGGAGTATTTTTCCAATCCTATAATAAAATTTTATTACCCAAACGACCGGAACCTATTCACAGAAAGGGTCTTGAGTAAGTGTACTTCAATGGTCAAGTCCAGGTAAAATGCATACGTTACGATTGGATACGGCTAACTAACAAGTATTTGTCATCCCGACAAGGCCGGCATTTGAACCAAATATGCATTAAAACTCATATTCGTCGAAAAAAGCATTAAATAAGCATATAAGTTTTAATATGCATAAAATTGAAAAAAAAAGCAAATAAGCATTAAAAAAAAATGTGTCAAATGACTCCAAATTGTATCATAGTTACAGATATAAAAAAGTTTTGAAAAGCTTACATTTTTCACAAAAGGCATTAAGCCTAGAAATCCGCTCTCTAGTTATAAGTTTTACAGGAACAATTTACCAGATTTTCATCCGCTGGCTTTAATAACTGAATCTTAAAACTTTATCTTATTGCGATACGAAATGTTACGGAAAACAATTGCATACACAAATTTGTTATAACAAAAATTGGGTTCAGGTATTTTTAAAGCCAAGTCTGCTACAAACTCGTTGAAACATCACCTTAATTATTGTTATTAAATACTTCATCGAAATGATTTAAAATCAATTTTCAACCCATTTGGAAATGTGCTTGCAGGAATGTTAATTTATTTGTAATTAGTAAGTACATACTTGTAAAACCGAATTTCAGTTAAGCCTATCTAAAGTTTTGGACATTCAATGTGAAAGTTGCTTTAATTAATACTTGGTAGAATAATGACGCAGAGTGCAGTCATGAATTTCTTTTCCGTTCTATTGTTACGATTAATGACAAACCCCACTTAATCGTTGTGTAATTTTTTTATAGTCTGATTTGTTATATAAATAATAACAACGTTCCAATATGCAGTATAATTTTATTGGTTTTGTGCATAGGTGCTAAGTGAGATTGCTGGGATATTTTTGTGAACCTTTGCATTGCAAAAAAATTTCAAAATCATTGGGATAACGTGGCAACGTTGCATCTAAATAAATAAGCTACGAAAAGCCCAGTCAGAATATGTAAAAAAGGTACGTAAGTATGTTTGAAAAACTGAACACTTTGTATGGTTGAAAATAATTGTATACGCTAGTCATAGAGCCGTAAAACTTTAATCTTTTTTTTCACGTGCAATAAATTAATTGAAATTGAACTACTGAGGACCGTATATTTAGTGACATTCTGTATAGTAGAACAATAAATAATTAAGAAAGAAATGCAAACAACCAATAAAATGTAGAATCGCGAAGTACTTTGCCAGTCGGTTGCTTGGTTACTCCCTGTCACCTCTTTCTGTCTCTCTCTTTTCTGTGCAGAGTTGATAGAATCACGTAGGCTTAGCTTTCTTACGACCACCGCCAAGGCACCACCAAACGACACTTTACAGCTGACTGTCGAGTGGGTCAGTTGTCTAAATCAGTATGTGTTGTTTCGTTTTACTACGGGGACACAGATTCCTGAGTTTACTAATTTAATGTGGAAACTAGAAATAAACGAAGATGTGTTTGTTCCACCCCCTGCGTTTCAGTTCCAAAGGGAAGATTATCAATTGGGATACAAAGGTTAGTGTTCTGTCATATTTATTACTGTTTGTCTTGTTTTATATAACAAATGGTTAGTTTTTACAGTAACCGCTAAAGTAATACAAAATGAATCGTACTCCACGATTAACTTATTTATAATAATTATATAATTTCTTATAATTGGTGTAAGTGTTCATACAATCTGATGTCCTGCTCTTTGGAAAATCTGAAGTAGTTTTTCTTGGCCTTTTTCTGTCTATTTTATCGACGTTTTCTTCAGTAGGGCCGTTTGTATGTTTAGTGACTGTAATTTGACTGATGCTCAAGCCTTTGACAGTGACCTGCAATATTTTTATTACAAATTCGACACAGTCTATGTAACCTCTACAGGTGTGCCTAAAAACTTAACTCGTTTTTAATAAAAAAAGTTATCTTGTAAAAGACATATGCAGAAACGAAAGAAAATAACACCTACGAACAAAAAACAGCCAAAGAAAAACGTACACAGATTTCGAAGCGGGCAAAAATGACTGGCTTTTTTCCACTGCTCAGACGCGTAGATTATTTTATTAGTTATTATTATTACTAAAGATCGGAATTATATGCATCGTCCTCATTAAAGTTGCCAATGTTGCCATTGAACATTTCAGAAATATTTTGTAAAATTTTGAATCCATTATTTTTGTCCATAACATCTGAATGCTTTTTCCGCACTGACTGTCCTATTTTGTCAGTGACTTCACAAAAATTGTTTTCAAATTCTTTTAAATTTTCGGTTGATTCAGTCAGAGACAATTTTTGTTTTTCGAAATCATTAATTGTTTTGATTAGAAAATTATAATGAGATTCAATAAAGATTAATTTGTTGCCCAATGCAGCTTTATTTAAAACATCTTGACACTTGTTTATAGCAAGGTTGTCAGTGCCGTTAAATTCCAATATTAATTCTTTAATTGGCTGAAAATTATTGGCATAAAATATTGCTGCTTACAGTCAAGTTCTCCATCTGGTGACAACATGTTCTGGAGGTAAAGGAATATCTGGCAATTTTTCGCAGACTTTAAAAAGATTTTCTTTACAGTACTAATTAAAGAATTAATATTAGGAAATTCGTTCCTAATTTGTTCTGCAACTCGGTTGCATGGGCCAAACAAGTAACATGAATTAAATTAGGGTAAATTATTTTTAATTATTGTCCAGCTTTTATCATGTAAGTTGCTGCATCTGAAAGCATAAGTAAAATTTTGTCGGTTACCACTACATTTGGTGCGAAAAAATTCAT